TCTTCATCCCTCCGCACCGTGTTCTCTGAACCTCCTCCCTGCGCTCCCACCTCTGGGCTCCCAGCTCCTCTTTGGCTTCCTTGGCTCTGAAAGGACCCTTTCCCGCAGGACTGATTTGCAGGTGCCGTCCAATCGCAGGTCCTCTGAGGACTCTGATGTTCCCTTTTATAGGTTGAGAACATCCCAGTTGCCAGGACTCTGAGTCTCTTTTCTATTCCTCTCAGCAGCTCCTTTTAAACATGCGCTTTGGGTTTCTCTGTTTCTCCAGTGATCTCTGAATAGATCACACTATTCACGGTGAGGCCTGGCCGCGGTGAGACCAGAGGGGAGTGAGGCAGGTGGTGGTTTATAATGTAACAATTTGGCCACCCACAATTATCTCATTTACTGCCAGGACACCCAATCAGTGTTTTGCTTTCTGGCACCCTTACGGTATACCCTGGCGCCCTTTGTCCTGGGGAAGATCGGCTAGATTGTTTGGGAGCAGCAATTGAGCCTTGGTTGATCATAAGGGGGGAAAATCGCATGTCCAGCATTTGTAAAAGATGCTTACAGGGCATATATTTTATTATTTGAATTTGTTCGATCATTCCAGAGTAAGAACTTGATTTCTTGACTTCTGTTATTTATAGGCAATGGAGCTGGGATGCTCTCCAACTGTTTCTCTTTAGTGTTTTGTTCTCCAGCATTTTCTCGTCCCTTCTCTATCAGATGTTTAAGATGTGGATCCAGTCAGAACTATCCTGCTTTGTCTTCAGTGACTGTGGAGAGAGTTTGTGGCTAGCATATCACGTTACAACCTGTCATAGAGGGACGTCAGGGCAGGACTCAAGACCTGGAGGCCAGAACTGAACTGAAGCAGACACCACAGAGGACGCTGCTCATTGGCTGGCTCTTCCTGGCTTGCTCAGCGTATTTTCTTACAGAACCCAGGGCCACCCGTCCAGGTGACACCACCTTTTATATCAAGAAAATGCCCTACTGGTATTTTTGAAGACTTTTTGTTTCATTTTGTTTTTGCTTTTTTTGTTGTTTGTTTGTTTTATTGGTCTTTAGCATCTTTGATTTTTGTTTTTGTGGGGTCCTTTTGTATGTGTGTTTCTTGAATTTGTTTGTTTCTTGTTTTTTTGTTTTTCTTTTCTGGGAGAGAAAAACAGAGAAAGAAAGCATAAAGTTGGATGGATAGGGAGTGGGGAGAATCTGGGAAAGTTGAGGGAATGAAAAACATGATCGAAATATATTTTATGAAAATATTTTTTAATATAAAAAGAAAAATGAAAAAAAACGCCCTACAGACAATTTGATGGGGGCATTTTCTCAACTTAAATTTCTCTTTCCAGATAATTTTAGCTTGTGTCAAATTGGAAAACAAACAAACCCCCCACAAAAACAGAACAGGAGCCTTTTGGAGTTAGCAGAGAGTGGAAGCTGAGAGCACAGATCTGACAAAAACCAGGCTCCACCCTTGGTTTTACTCAGCTGTGCAATCATCATGGTGAGCACCATTTTCTTCATCTGCAGCACCCACTGCATGCACTGCAGACACTGGATCAGAATGACTGAAGCACACAGCAGACATTGGCCCTCATCTGCAGCACACACTGCACACACTGTGAACACTGGATCAGAATGACTGAAGCATGAAGAACTGCAGACACTGGCCCTCATCTGCAGTGCCCACTGCACACACTGCAAACACTGGATTAGAATGATTGAAGCACACAGAACAGCAGACACTGGCCAGGTTAAGTCTTCAGCATTGGAACAGTGGGTCACAAAAAGCCAGAGAGGCCTTTGAGTAAGAAGACAGCAATTATTGGAGTTGGAGCAAGGCAGGGAAGCCCTAGTGACCCTGTGGTGGTTTCAGCAAGAATGATGACTTCCTAGGGTTATAATGGGATTAGGAGGTGTGGCCTTGTTGGAGGAAGTGTGTCTGTCACTAGGTGGACTCTCAGCATCTCTCTCTTCCTGATGCCTATGGATCCAGATGTAGAATTCTCAACTACTTCTTCTACTACTATGACTGCCTGTGTGCTGCCGTGCTCCCCACCATGACAATGGGCTAAACTGCTGAAACTGTGAGCCAGACCTAATTAAATGCTTCCTTTATAGGAGTTGTTGTGGTCATGGTGTCTCTTCACTGCAATAGAACACTAAGACAGACCCCAAACTGATGCTAGACTTCACAGTTCAGTGTTTCATGAAAAGCAAGTGAGTGGGCAGTCAAGCCTGGCACTGTCTTTCCCATGTGACTGACTGTTGGGGATTTGGTAAGGACAGCTCACTGTGATTCCCTAGCTGATAAGAGGGATTTTGGAGTTCGGATAGTAACAGAAGTCACTGACCTGTAGGAACTTGGTAAACCTGCTCACTGGTCTTCTTCCCTCCAGACGAAGTGTTGCCAAATCGGGGAACTAGTGTCCCATGACCCCACAGGACAGGTGATAGCTAGACCCCTAAGTTGGAGAGCATGTATATCCCAAGAGGCCTGAACAAGGTCTCTTTCTTCTTATGAATAGTGCAAACCACTCAGAAGCCAGTCCCAGTGCTGACCACCCCTTTTCCCGGAGTAGACTCGGGGGCAGGGAGGCCAATCCAGCATGCAGCTACAATGCCAAAAGGCAAGAAGATGGGGGAGACATGCTGAGGCTGGAGGAGGTTGGGGAACACAGAAAAGAGCTAGCTTTTGCATGCTGCACCCCCTTCCCTCACTCTGCCTCTACCACTGGCTGTGGACAGTAGAATCATCTTTCCCCATTTCGCAGGTGAAGAAAGTCAGGCACCGCTGGAGCCAACTGCCCAAGTCAGCTGGCTTTAGGAAGAGATGAGGCAGGCTTGCTGCTGAATTGATGGCTATAGGCTGGGGGGTCTTCTGAGGGACGCAGCCTCCCAACAGGTGCTTCCCTCTATCAGAAACACCCGACAGTAAGGGTCAGCGTACACAGCATGTGTGGTGGGCGAGTGGGCAGCGTAGCATCCTGCAAGCATGTGCCCGTGTACCCCTACAATTAAAATCAACCAAATGAAAGGAGGCAATATTGTCTTTGGTTATGACTAAGGTAACTGAACACAGTGTTACTGAATCTCTTAGGCTCTTGCCCCCCCTGAAGGAAACTGACAATCACAGTCCTTTACAACCATGCCTTCTGGCTTTTGTTTTAATCTTTTATTTATGAGTTTGGGTGTTTGCCTGAATGGATGCCTCTGCACCCCTTCATGCCTGGTCCCTGTGAAGGCCAGAGTTGGGCTTCAGATTCCCTGGAATTGGAGTTACAGATGGCAGTGAGCTGTCATGTGGGTTGCAGGAAAAGCAAGTGCTCCTAACTGTTGAGCCCTGTTCTCTGCTGCTTCACACACCTTTCTCCTCTTCCCGAGCTTTCAGGACCCTATACTGTGGCCTACAAAAAAAAAAAAAAAAGAAGAAGAAGAAGACAAGAAGTGGGGACCCACAGCATTGTCAGGCTTGGTAATCATTTTGGAAGTGCAGAGACAGTGAAGCTGGGAGATGCGGGGGCTGAAGTTGGAAGGATCTGGAGGTGGTAAGGCTGTGAGAGTCTGGGCAAGAGCTCAAATGCAGGGGGAACATTCTAGAACTGGGTGGGAACAAGCTAGCTGGAGGTGAAGCCTGGCAGCAAGTACTGCTTCTCGGCAAAGGTGGAGCATGCTAGCAGGTGACTGACGTTCAAGCATGCTCCAGAGCGGGAGCAACTGGAGAGTTCCGGCATCTGCACCCCTCCCTGGAGCATCTCTCCAACTACGGGAGAAGGTCTCCTGGGCTCCACAGCTTATTCTTTGTTGTAGAATGTGGATTCTGTACAGGTGTTAGAACACAACATGTCAGGAAGATGAGTACTGACCCCAAAGGATAAAATTGACCTGTGATCACCCTTAAGAGGCGATGTGTGATCCAGTTCTGACCAGTGCTGTGTGGGCTGCTTCTAGGGTCCTCCTCATTATTTAAATGAGAGGTGGAGAGGACGAGAGAGGTAAAGGGAGACGGGAAGACTGCCTGTCTTGCATGTGGCAGTGATCTTGGCTAATGTAGCTCCTACTAGTTTCAGGAGCCATCTTGTAACAGTGAAGCTAAAAAAGGAAGATGCAGCAAAGACCTGATGCAATCAATGCTGAATTAGTCTAGGAACCCCCAACCTCTGTGTTTATCAGTTCTCTCCACTGCTATAAGCCAGGTCCTTCTCAAGGACATTCAACTTATCAATTAATAGACTCCCAAACCCTGGGTATGGAACGATGATTCCCGCCCTCTGGAGCTCACGACATCAGAGCTGGCTGTGCCTGCAAGCGCAGCTTCCCCAGTACTAGCACTACACAGCACAGACCGAGCACAGCCTGGGAAGTAGGCAGAGGGCATGCGCACACTGGAGGAGTTGGGAAAACAGCCAAAAGACAGCAAAAGTCTGTGAACTGGGGAGTCCTAAGCCTACAGACTGCAGGTCCAGCATGACTGACTCTCACCTCTCGGAATATCCACACTGGATGCTTCCAGGGGATGAGTTTTTTGTCATCCAGTCGGGTATCCTTGCCTGGCTCCCCACATCCCCTTTTCTCTCACTCCCCCACTGGCTCTGTTCCTACTCCACCATGTCCATCTTCCCCTTGTCCCTAACCCTTGAACTGTGAAGTTTGAGAATTAAAGTAACCAAGTGCCCCTCACTCTCCCAGAACCAACCTTTAATAGCCAGATTCTAAAATCTGTATTTTGAGGCACTGGGTAGTGCTTAGATATTGATCTCATAGCCCAGGGGTGTCTTCAAAATAGCCCTTTCCCTTTCCTGCTGGCTCTAAGAGAGGCCCAGTAGCCTGTGCCGTGGCTCAGCTGTAAGGATTCTAGAGGCTACTGGGCCTCTCTTAGAGCCAGCAAAGCCCCATCTGCCGCACCCTTGGCAGACTCCCCCCCCCCCCCCCGCAATCCTTTGTTCCACTATCTTCATGAATCTTCTCCACACAATCTGAACTCAGGCTCAAAAAACAGCACAAAAGCAAACAGTTTATACAGACTTTATTTGTCGCCCAGAGAGGTGAGCACACACAAATGTGGGCAGGCAGAGGGCTAAGAGATACATTGTCACAGTTACCTGCCCCAGTCATAGACCAGAAAGGGGGGGGGAGTCTTGTTTCTAACACACATTGCTATGGGATAATCACAATGACACATTTTATTCCCAGTTCTATTTACGCCATGGAGTGTGGTGAGGGTACACTTCTTACACTAAAAATATAGACTTTGGAATCTCTAAAACAAAAATATCTGCCTCTGCATGAGACCTACTAGAGAGAACATAGAAAAGGAGGGGAAAGTACCAGCACCTCGAGTTGCCCTGTCTGTGGGAAGGCTGCCCTGTTCTCCACAGACACCATCAGTCCCCTTCCATGGGAAGGCTGCCCTGTTCTCCACGGACACCATCAGTCCCCTTCCGTGGGAAGGCTGCCCTGTTCTCCACGGACACCATCAGTCCCCTTCTGTGGGAAGGCTGCCCTGCTCTCCACGGACACCATTAGCCACTTCTAACCAATGACAAACAAGAGGCAAGAGGCAGGCTTAGCATCTCAGGAGTGGAAAGGGATCAATTGCACATTCAGGTTAGTGCTTCAGGTTCCAACGCAATCACACAAGTAAAAACCTGCTGGAGAAGTTGCCCATACGCCTGTTAAGCAATGCCCAGGCCAGCTGATTGTGCCTGGGTTTACGAAGAGGCTGTGGAGGGTGGGGGGATGGACAGCTAGGGGAAACACTCCGTATTCACTGATGCAGGAAGTGGGTTAGATCTGGGGGAGGGCACTATTCCTTCTCTCTTCGGAAGGACCAAACCCATTCCATTCTTCTGAGCACAGGATCTCCTCTAACGACCCAGTCTGGACGGCTCACTCCCGACGGCTACTGAAAAGACTTCACTCCTCGCACACACTCTGAACAGCGATGGTTACTTCACACCTCCTTTGCTTATGAAAATTATCCTCATTTTTGGCCACAGAAAAGGTAACTGAAGAAAGAATGTGACTGGGTCAGTCAGCCATTCTCTATAATTAATGCTATGAAGACCAAGGGCAAGCCAGGTATGGTGGCACATGCTTGGAACCCCAGCGTTTGGGAGGTAAGAAAACTGCTGCAAGCTGCCGACTAGCTTGGTCTACACATGAGACCCTAGCTCAGAGCAGTAGTGTCAGAGGGGGCACCAATAACCACTTAAAAATAGTTACAGCAGAAAATTTGCTTCTATTTCAATTTTGAATGTGTTTTCCTGCTTAGAGCAAAATGTAGATCAGTATAGATGAACATGGGAGCTTAGGAACGCTTAGTGCTCCTCCACAGGTCATGGGATCAGTACAGACGAACATGGAAGCTTAGGAACACTGGGTGCTCCTCAACAGGTCATGTCAGAACATAACCATAGAGGTCCTTTTCCAAGAGGCAGCAGCAGCCGAACTCGAAGTCCTGGCCACCTCAGCTGGTGGTGCTGTCAGGAGCTGATCATGTTTCTTTCCACAGAAGGAACTTGAACAATGGCAGGAAGAGCTGAAGGAGAGAAAGAAAGGGTTCCAGGAAAGCTGAGGCAGAAGAGGCAGGAGCACGGGTGAGGTCTTGCCCAGCTAGCCAGGGCCGGCTGAAGGGTCTCCACTAAGAGAAAGCCACTCAGCGCAGGGCCTGGGAATGTCCAGCAAGGATGGGGCTTGGAAACCTGAAGGGTGTGAGGGCAACGAGAGAGAAACTGGCCTGACCCCACAGTTTAAGCGCCCAGGAAGCTGAGGACATGGTTCCACAGTCAAGAGGACCCAGGTATGAGTCCCAGCAGCCACACGGAGGCTCACAAAGATCTGTAAATCTGATTCCAGGAAATTTGATGCCCTCTGCTCTCTTCAGGCACCAGGCACACACATGGTACAAAGACATACATGTAGACAAACACCCACACATATACAGTTAAAGTCCTAGGCAAAGGTACTGTCACTCTTGCAAAAGACCTTCAAAGACACTGGCAAAGTCACAGGGGAGACAATATGATAATGGTGTCTCTGATGTTCATTAAAGATTAAAAAAACCCAGGGGTTCTAGACCCTAACCAATCCTACGCTTCAGTATACAAACGATGAATCACTAGACAGGATACAAGGACAATCCCTGCTTCCCTGACTTAAAGGAGTCTGGAGAGCTGGCAGGTGGAGGATAAAGTGGGATTAGGAACTGTCCTTCAGGATGAGCACAGACCACAGACAGTCCAGAGAGGCTGCAAGGCTGACCCAGCCTTGGGCAGGCTGGGGACTTAGTGGATGCCAGATTTGTATCTAACGTTTATAAGAAATTTCAAAGTTCCATCACCAACAAAGAGAAATTATGACTATTCACATTGTCTTTGGGGAAGATATGGCCACTTTCTATCTACAAAAAAGGCAGGTTTCATGAGTGAAGGAGACCTGGGACGGGGCCGTGGGTGGTGAAGCACACGGCCCCCTGACCCTACCCAAGCTGCAACCAAACACACCGGCAACCACACAGTGTATCTCTTCAGGTCTTCACCTTCTCCCTGAGAGTCGTCAGGAAGCAACCCAGCCCCTTAGGAACTCTAGAGCCAAGGCTTCACTGCCAACATGTTCTTGAGTCTCTGCCTCCGTCCACTCTGGTCACATTGCCAGGACAGCACCAGCGTGTCAGGACATTGGCTGGCAGCTAAAAGCTGCCCTTGTCAGAGAACAGATGACCACTTCTCTGGTCCCAGCAAACGCTGGTGTGAGAAAAAAAACCCAGAGGTCCCATAGCTGCATTGCTCAGGGCTAACGAAGACAGCCCCCACCTCCCAGGGCGAACGAGCATCAGGGCTTGGGAAGAGTCACTGTCCTCAGCGACACTGCCACTGTCTTCGGTGCAAGATGGGCACCTCACACGCCTGCCTCTTGGGTGCACGGAGGCCAGAACAGTAGGTAAAGCAGTCACCAATTTCCCTACACAAAAAGTTGCATGAAAATACAGGAGGAAAAAGATGAGGCAAGAAAGAAGGGAGTGTTCCCAGGGGACAAAGGGAGTGTTCCCAGGGGACAAAGGGAGTGTTCCCAGGGGACAAAGGGAATGTTCCCAGGGGACAAAAGGGGATGTTCCCAGGGGACAAATGCAATGAAAAAGAGCAGCCAAGAAGTTATCAAGCAAGTTTTCCCACCGACAGGCTGCTTCAGAATCATTCCCAGCTGGGAAAGGTTACAATGATTAGATCTGCCCTGAAGTGATCCGCTCGGAAAATTTGGCTCCCAGAGACTTTAATGCCCACTGATTTCTGTAGAACCTGCCTGTTCCAGTATGGAGTACCTGAGAGCACGTCAGGGCTGCTGCTGAAACAGGACAGAGATCTCCTGTGCGTAGAGATCAGACAAACCAGGAACAAAACTCCTGTCTCAGAGGATGTCAGGATTTGAAAGTAGGGTGGCATTCATCCACCAGGCACAGAACAGCAATGCCTGCCACTATTTTACAAAGGGTATCTGCTCTGCTGGCTTGCGTCTGTCCTGTACCAATTGTTAAATATCTTGAACATCATCTTTGCGTCAATGGGACAGTGGTCCTCACAGGCAGGGAAGTGGTGGCGACACAGAGTCCCTCAACACCAAACACCTTCAGAGAGCAAGCAGATGCCTTAGTGTGCGTTCAGAGTCTGAGGGTGCAAACCGCAACAAACGGCGCAGCAAACGGCGCAGCGTGTCCTCACCAGGGAAAGAGAGCATACACTGTGTACGGGGAGGTCTTGTGGACAAAGATGCAGATGGAAAGCCAGCATGACCAGCTTCCTAGTCACTCTCTGTGCACAAAGGAAGGGGGGGTCTATGAGCGCTGGGGCCCAAACCCTTGATGATAGTTATAGAATACAGAAGAGAAAAATCACTCACATACTTTTAAACCAAGCGCCCAAACTGACTTCACCATTTACAATTCATTTCTTAACATGAATTTTTACATCTGAGATGCAGAACTTATGTCAACCAAAAGAAATCTGCGTGACAAGAAAGCCACAGGGCTGAAGGCGGTTTTGGTCCATTGAGTGATGGTGTTCGCTACCAAGGCAGTTAAGGAGATGTCTAGGAGCACTTGTGTCTCTCCAGGGTGAAGTAACAACATAGCCTCAAGAGACAGCAGCAGAATGTCAAACAGTCCCACAAACAGCCAACAACAAACCCTGGTTTCTACCTTTTGACTCACAAAGAACTACTACTACAGAACAGACCTGACACCAAACCCCAGGCTAAGAAGTTGGCCCTGGTCACATCAGTCACAGGCTCCTTCTCTTTCTCTATTTTCAAGGAAACCCAAGAAAAGATGTTCAGTCCCCTAAGGTTGCTGACTTCTCTGAGGCCTTCCTTCAGTCAGCTAAACTCTTGTTCTCACACTTGGCCCTGCATCTTCCAAAGGTCTGGTGACATCATGTTGACTGCTTCTGGGAATTAATACGGATGACCCCAGGTCAGCGGCATCTTGCCAGTTCTGGTGGTGGCCACTGTTGATGCTCGGATGGCCAATCTCAGGCAGCAAACCTCCTACAGTGTTTGGTCTGACCAGCACCCCTTTCCAAGTAGAGATGGGATGGAGGCTGCTCGTGAGCCTGCAACTGGCAACAGCCCAGGAGCCCCCCTTCTCCAGCCTCTCTGTCACCACCCCAAGCCACCGTTCATGAAGAGGGATCTCATGAAGGAATCCTCAATGACAGAAAAGACTCATGTGGCTCCCAAGGCCAGCAGAGAGCATCGGAGAAAATGTCTGAAAAATGGGAAGCTGGCTCCTTAATGGTGGCAGTTCTGAAGAGGAAGAAGAAAGAGGAGAGGAAGCAACAGGAGGTCGTCCTGCCGGTGGCCCTGCCGGTGCCTGGCTGCTGGTATGAGGGTAGCTGAATGTCTTCCAATGCACACTGAGCGACTGAAAGCTTCCGTGTGGCATGGCTTTGAGATGACCAATGACAGGGCCTGACTCAGCCTGGCTTCTTCTGCGAGAGACTCACCATTTTCTCGAAAACCAGAACTTCTTTGAGGCACCTCGTGGCCCAAATCTTCCACCCCAGCAGAGTCTCAATTGAAGAGGCTGGATAACAATGTCACAGAGAGACAAAGGGACACATGACTAGCACCTGCTCTCAACACAATACTTTGAAGACGCCACCACAACTTGGATCTAGCTATATTTTAAGTTCATTTACAAGTAGACTAGTTCTCAACTAAAAATAACCACATGTGTTATACATTTCCACAGCTGCCTGGATTTTCCTCTGAGAGAAGAAGATTCTGTGTTTCACTCGCATTGAACACAGATCTATTTTAACCCATTCAGGGAAGAAGTGGCAGCACACACTGGCAGCTGTGGGCCTGGGAAGCACTCGGTTGTTCCCCAGCGCGACCTCACTAGTACCCTCACTTTACCAATAAGTCAAATGCCAGAAGCGGCAAAATGCCAAGCTAAGCCTGGAAGTAGGAGCAGGACCAGCATTCCGGGTCCTGGCTTGTTTGTTTTAACAAACCTGTTATCTGTGTCAAGACTCACATTTTTTTTGCCTTCATTTATCTGAGGACTTAAATGTAAGTGGTGTTTAGGCTAAAGTTGTAACTTATATACATAGCATTCCTTAATGTAGGCAAAGATCCTTTCATTTTCTTTAATGATTTGATTAAAACTGATCTATGCTATTGTTAAATGACATAGAGAAATTTCTTTGCAGAATAAGAAAACTGTTATGTTTAGCAAAATTCTTATTTTAGAACCTAAGTTAAGTGGGTTAAAGTTTGAGCCAATATTATTATTATTATATTATTTATTAGTGTTAACAAGCTTTCAGCAATTTTCCAGTTTGTGTGGTTGTAGTAATCAAGACAATCCTTTAGATTCTGAAATGAGAAACTTTCTCCAAGTGGATTAAAGAAACTAAACAGATAAAGCAAATTTACATTCCAAAATAATTATAGCCTGCTGTTGGGACCGAAGAAAACGGGCAGCTCAGAACAGCCTGCCTTTTCAAATACTTGGGAACTTTTTGTTTTTATTTCTCTTACTGTACAGTTAGCAGTAGTTTTGTTGTTTACTAGGCAAATCCAATCCTACAAATAACATACATCTTACCTTTAACACTATTGCCATTTCAAAAGTCAGAAGTAAACAAAAATGAAAAATTAGAATTCTCTTTACCTTTTCTCCTTTGTATTTCCAGAATTTATACTGAGAGCCTTCCAGACTGTGGTTTTGGGCATTTCATCTGATATATTAATCTCAGAGGGGTCACATCTGAAATAAAAGCTTAAGCAGTGAATATCAAACATGTAAGTAAAAGACACACCCTAGTTTCCCGTGAGCATCACCCCACAAGGCGGCTTGAGCATGGAGCTGGGCGTCTGTCTGCAGCCGGGAGAGGCCAGGGCAGGAGGGGCAAGGTGGGACTGCTGACACCCCCCCCCCCCCGCGCCCGTGGGGCTGGTGCTGTGTGGCCGGCACTCTTGTTCATCCTCATTTACATAACAGAATCACTTTCATTATAGTTTACAAAAGACTTCCATACTCTAATAGCTTAACAATCACAGTGACAGAGATGAATAATCATAATACTCATTTTGAAGGTGTAAAACCCAAAGCTTTCTGAGCAAGTGTCCATCAAAAGTTAAACAACTGCACAGAACCAAGACCCTAAACACAGCCCCTGGTCCTGGGAAACCCCAGACCACGCTAGAGCCATCTATGGGCCAGCTGGTCTTCTGAAAAGCAAAGAGAAGCAATGGCATCCCACGGGAAAAGGAGCCATGATCCTGCTTCGCTGTCAGACATCAGAGCTGATGTCTCTCCCATACAGCACACAGACGCCTTCTCAGGGAGCAAAGATGAGATGTCCTGCTTTATCTGCAGTCTAAATCACAGCTAATCCCGGGGATCTGGGGGTGGTGGCCATCAGGCTTCCTTCCTTTTCCCGCTGTCCTCACCTCCAGGCTCCCGCAGCCTAGGCATGCTGCTCCCAGACAGACACAGACATCAGGAGCAGTTGGTGCCCTGTGCTTTGTGGAGAGGAATGAGTTTGGTAGAGAAAGGGACTGAGACACCAACTTAGGGTTTGTCTGGACTTCAAAGTCACTGTCCTCTTTACTCCCTGAACTGAAAATGCTATAACCCACATTGGAGGGGACTGTCTCTGCCTGTCCGCAAAGTCAGACCCCAGTGCAGGCACAACATGCCCACCAGGCTGGGGACACCCTGGAAATAAGAATGTACCCTACTGACCTTAGGAAAGTGGACGAGAAGAACACAGGGTTGAGAAGCAGAGAGGTCCCGCCTTAATCCTGAACTTGTATTAGCAGCTTTGTAACCCTGGCACATTTCCTAATCAGCTTTCTCAGTTGTTCAAAGTAGCTAATGACCCTTAGAGGACTGTTGTGAAGACTGACGGGGACACGAGCAAAGCCCCTGTACACCCTGACATGGCAGAGGCACTGGGGACACTGGCTCCCTGACTCCCAACCCTACAAAGCAGGGCACGCAGCAGGCGTTCAGAACACAGCGGAATGGAAAGCTGCTTCCACAAGGTGAGCCAACTGCTCGGCTCCTCAGAATGGCAGCAGGATGTGGCAGGAATCAGGCAGCAAGCTGTGGTATTTGGGGGCTTACCTGAAGCTGCTATTCTTGCCAGGACTACTTAGCAACTTCCTGCTTTCAAGCGGGAACTTATCACCCCTTATGTCCAACATCTTCTCAGCCTCCTGGAAGATAGGGGACCTTATTATTGTCAGGGCCAAAGAAAATTCTAACTCCCCGAACACCAAAAGGCCATGCCTATGGCCAGGAATGAGCCTGGTTCAGCTCAAGCTGGACTACAGGGTTGCTCCAAGCTCACAGCCGACATTTCTCAGGAACCTGTGAAGTGGGCTTCTGCCTGCCAGAAAGGGTCATGGCCAGTGGGTGTACCTGTAGTCGCTAGCTGCCAGCAGGTCACAGGCCTCCCTCCTCCCTGATACCTGTTCTATGTAGCAGCAAGGTTTTTCCTCATCGTATGTGTGCGTGTGTGTGCGCGCACATGTGCGTGCATGTGTGTGTGTTCAACACATGTCATTCTCACTTCTCTTGCAGATAGCTCTGGTTATGTTCAGTGTGCTTCTTTTTCTTTCTGTTCTGGACTCTTCCAGATGCCTCTGAATGTTCTCTCTTACCACAGTAAAGCCTTCCCTTAGCCAAGGAGTGGCCATTCCGGTGGTCTCTTTACTGAGCCCTAACTTATGATTCCATCTCAGACCAGGAAGACCCAGCGTCTCCTGGCCGTTTTCAGTTTCACTCACATTTGCAGAGCGAGGTCCTTCCCCAAGTTTGACTCCTCCCAAGAGCAAGGTGACTGAATAGTACATATGGGACAGTATTGGAAAACAATTAACCTAAGTGTAAGCCTCTACGGCAGTGGCTCTCAGCCTGTGGCTCGAGACTCTTTTGGGAAGTTGCATAACAGACATCCTGTATATCAGATATTCACACTACAATTCATAACAGTAGAAAAATTACAGTTATGAAGTAGCAATGAAAATAGTTCTATGGTTGGGGTCACCACAACATGAAGAACTGTATTAAAGAGTCACAGCATTAGGAACACAAGAGGCAGAAGAACATGTCAGTGTTGCCAAAGAAGACAATAGCAAGAATTGTCTGATGAGAGAGATGCCCTGCAGTCAAAGCCCAGCTTCCTAGCAGAAAGGAGAAGGAAAACTCTAAGCTGATGTGAAGTGGAAATCGGCGTACTATAACGTATGTGTGGGTGGTCCTTTGTTAGATTTGGTCCAAATAAACAAGTTGTTAAAATAGTAACGAGGTGTCTGGAAGACAGCTGAGGTGCAAAGCACTTGTGGCCCAAGTGTGAGAGCCTGAGTTTGGATCAGCAGGTCCCACAGACAAAGCCAAGCACGGCAGCAATCCCTGTAACCCTGGCGCTTGGGAGGAGAGACAGGCGGGCTTGGGGGTCAGCTGACCAGCACAAGCATGAGCTCCAGGTTCAGCCAGAGACAGCAGTTCTACAAATAGGGAGGGAAGCAATCAAGTGAGATACCCGACGTTAGCCTCTGGCCTCCACATGCAGAAACACACACACACACACACACGCACGTGCGCACACACACACACACACCAGTAATAAGGAAAATTTAGGGGGTTTTCTTATTTTTACATATACTTAAAATGTTTCATATTAAAGTATTTTCTTAAAAAATTATGACAACACAAAAAGATTTGGAGTTTGAGGATAGCCTGGGCTACATAGTGAGATCCTATCTTACTAGCAAAATAAAAAAAAATGACTTCTTAAAAAATGCCACTCACTTAAAGGAATAATTATAGAGATTAAAAATTTTCTACAAACATGTTTAGAGCATAACAATAATAAAACTTAAGCCTGGCGGTGGTGGCACACGCCTTTAATCCCAGAATTTAGGATTCAGAGGCAGGAGGACCTCTGTAAGTTTGAGGCCAGCCTGGTCTACAGAGTGAGCTCCAGGACAACCAGAGATATATAGAGAAATCCTGTCTCAAAAAAACACAAGAAGAAAGGAAGGAAGGAAGGAAGGAAGGAAGGAAGGAAGGAAGGAAGGAAGAAAAATTAGTGTTCCTGGATCAAATGCACAAACATTTTTCTTTCTGATGCAGGGTCTCATGTTAATCAGGCTGAACTACCAGGTTCAAGTTGTCCCCTGCCTCAGCCTCCCAAGTGTTGGGAATGTAAGTATATGCTGCAGCACCTAGCTTAATATGTATTTGTGTGCGTGCTCATGTGTGCACTTGTGTGCAAACACCATGTGTGTATGCCATGATGGGGGGGTGTTTTGTCTACATGTGGTTGCCTGGTGCCCGAAGAGGCCAGAATGGAGTATTGTGTCCCTTGGAACGGGAGTTACAGATGAGTGAGCTGCACATGGGTGCTGGGAACCAAACCTGGATCCTCTGGAAGAGCAGTCAGTGCTATCAGCCATGAGCCGTAGCTCCATTCCTGGCATAAGTATATTTAAGACTCCACTTTTGGTTGTTCTCTAAAGAGATGTCTCCAGCTCAGACTGGCACTCAGTGTATGTGTGGCCTGTCCCAACCACAGAGTTGAAGGGTCAGCTCTGCCCACGTACGCACTGCTGTCACTTGACAGGCGGAAAAGAACGTTCCCAGACAGAGCCTGCAGCACAGCAGGGGGAGGGAAGGGTCTTTTCACTGCTTTCATATTTAAAATTTTAGTTCATTTAATAATATAAGATTTAAAAAATTTAAGACATTAGACATTAGAAAATTTTATTTTAAAATATAGTTGAAAAAGATAGCAGTGTCTGCTGAGTGACAGGTTCTGACTAGGCCAGAGCGGGCAGCAGGAAAATATGTATGTATGTATGTATATGCGTGTAGATAGATAGATAGATAGATAGATAGATAGATAGATAGATAGATAGATGGATGAATGGATAGGTAGGTAGGTAGACAGGCAGACAGACAGACAGACAGACAGTTGGAAGGACAGTCAGACAGTCGGAAGGACACGATTTTGGGCAGCAACTGTGCTGAGACATGCCCAGGCCTTTCTTTTCTTAGTCTTGCTACACATCCTTTCTGTGCATGTTCAGGCCATGGCTCATGGTCCATTGTGTAAGATGGCAAGGTGCCAACTGCTGAGGGTGATGAAGACAGAAAGTCCCTCACAAGCTGCGTTTGCACCATCTGTAATTAGATGCATAACCGATACTCTCAGAAATAATGGGTTTATGCACGTGCCAAATCAGATCTTCTGGAAGAAAAGGAGCCACTGGATCTGAGAATCTCAGAGTGTATGTTCATATGATATTTGATCCTGGGGTAAAATCAAAGGAGGAAATGACTAGTTACCAATTCCAAAACATCAAGGGAACACAGGGCCAGGACCCCTTAACCCTTCTGCAGCTGAGGTAACATTCTGCCCCTCAGTGTTACTTTCAGGATCTCACACACAGTCCTCCCTCCCTCTTTCCAGTTTGGGAGTCGAGGCTGGAGCTCAGCAAGGCTCTACCTCCTCCTCCTTAGCCTTCTTCTTAGCGTCATCCAGCTTCTTCTTTTTGCTTTCAGGCATGAGGTCATCCAGCCAGCTCAGCTCACGCTTGGAGAAGCAGAGATCCATGACTTTCCTGACGAAGACCAAGGCCAGGACCTGACGAGAAGGGAAGGTGGTAAAGGGGAGCCTCTCCTGAAGAAGTCAAGCTAAACGACTTCCACAGCAAGCGAGGACATCTCAAGCAGAATTGCACTCTTGATGGTTGCAGCAGTAGCCACTCACTGTGGGCCACTGGCACCCAGTACGAGGCTTTTGACATTATTTACTTTTAAATTTTTATATATTTTTAAGATATATGTTGCTAGTGTACTATGTGTTTATGTATGAATGTGTACTATGTATATATGTATACTATGCACCTATATTCATGTGTACTATGTATCTATGTATGCATGTGTACTATGTATCTATGAATGCATGTGCACTATGTATTTATGTATGCATGTATACTGTGCATCTATATATACACATGTACTATATCTATGTATGCGTGTGTACTATGTAACTATGTATGCATGTGTACTGTGTGAATGTCTGGTGCCATGGAGATCAGAGAAGGAATCAGTTTATCAGGAACTGACATTTAATCTACAGCAAAATGAACTGAGCATCCATTATTCAAACTTAAGCAAATTCTGACCCATGAGACAACACGAACAACAGGGAAATAAAGCAACGCCACATGAGCAGCTAAGGTAGCAGAAGTCACAGACAGACAGCAGCACTGTGGGCGCCTACACATTTGCAGAAAAGGAGAATGAGGGGAGACAGCCTCAAGTTTCTGTTTTGCAATGTAAAAGTCTAGACATGGATGGATAGTGATGTTGGAACCTCAACAATGTTCTTAATCCCACTGATCCATACTCTTAAAAGTGGTGATTACACGCTGGATAATGATGGAGCATGCCTCTAATCCCAGCACTCTGGAGGGAGAGGCAGGCAGATCTCTGAGTTCCAGGACAGCCAGGGCTACATAGAGGAATCTTGTCTTAAAAATCCAAACAAACAAACAAATAAATAAATAATATGGTGAACACAGAAACTTTATGGTATACATTTTTTTACCACTGCTTCAAAAAAATAACATTGATATTTTTTATTAAAACAACCTTCACTCAGTAGCCAGGCCACATACCTTAATCCCAGCACTCAGGAGGCAGAGACAGGCAGATTTCTGAGTTCTAGGCCAGCCTGATCTACAGAGTGAGTTCTAGGACATCCAGGGCTACACAGAGAAACCATGTGTGGGGGGGGCGGCGGCGGGAGAGAACCCTTACCATCATCGGGAAAACAATGGCAGCCGGCGATGCCTTGATAACCCAGAGCAGGACGAGGCAGGTGAGCTGGATGAGGGTGAAGAGGTGGACTTTGCGCAGTGGCACGTGCCGCAGGTAGATGAAATCTGGCTGATGTTTTGCAGGCATCCCAAAAAGCTTCAGACGATCAAAGAACTGGAAGGAAGAAGATACACTGGCTCTGGGGGTCCCTGGGTAGGAACCTCAAACCCACTGTAGCCCCACGCCACCTGCTCCGCACAGCAGCTGGGGCCGTTTCTCCCAGAGAGAATGGAAACTGGATCTCTGAGACAACAGATTTGGCCAAGGCCTGGAAGTGGCAGTCAAGATGAAAAACCATTTTTTCTAATTCCAGATGCAGCCCCCCAGCCCAATACACACACACTGCAGCTGTAAAGAGTGCTCCCAGGGTGGATGACCATGAGCCAACTGCACCTTTGAACATACTATCAAACCCAACTCCACCCAGGCGTGCTTACACAGACAGGCTGGGTCAAAAGGATGGCCAAGAGTTTGAAGCCAGTCTAGGCTACTGTGGGTTCCCAGTACAACTGAGCTACAGAATAGGACACGGTTTCAATGAAGAAATTCTCTCCCCACAAATCCCTAAATTCCCAAACCCAACTCTCTTGCTTGTTCTTTGAAAGGTTTGAAGCCACTTATTTACAAGATCAAAAAAAACCTCTTAAAATTCTGGATCAAGGAATTATGATGTTCTGGGGCTAGAGAGATGGTCCAGGAGAAGGGCTGGTGTGCAAGCTTGACGACCCGAGTTCAAATCCTGGGACCCATACAAAGGTGGAAGGAGAGAAACAGATCCACAAAGTTGTCCTTTGACTACAACATGCCTGCTGTAGCATGTGCACCCACACATATCACCCCACAGACACAAACACATACTCTACCATCATGCATGTGGAAGTCAAAGGACTCTTATAGAAGTTGGTTCTCTTCTTCCACCACAGGTTCCAAGGATGGAACTCAGATTCGTTAGCCTTGGTAGCAAGTGCCTTACAGGCTTAGTAGCAAGCATCTTAAGGGCTTGGTAGCAAGTCCTTTCCTGCTGAGCCATCTTGGTGATTCTTTTGTTCTTGACTAATGTTTCAAGTCCAGGTTTACAGGAATTTGACAAAGTGTCCCTAGTTTAGTGCCAAATAATCACAACACGACTGTGACATCAAGCCATGTCGTCCTGGCAGACAGTCCTCTCACACCAGCAAGACCGTATTTCGTACCCCATATCTGAAGACATTTCCTAGCCAAATGGCAAGATAAGAAGTGAAGTCTCAGGAACTGGCTGTGCCTCTCTGGTCGGGACAAGTGAATATAGCAAGAGACATGGCCCAGCCGAACCACACAGTACCTGGATTCCGTGAAGAGAAGAGACTCCCATGTAGAGGAAAACTCCATAGAGTACTGGCATCGGGATAAACTGCAGACAAGGGAGCAACACAGGAAAGGTGGGACACCAGCAGGACTTAAAGCCATCAAATTTTATGGAGACAGGGTCTTACTGTATGGCCTTAGCTGGCATGGAATTCAATATGTAGATCAGGCTTGCCTTGAACTCACAGACACCTGTCCATATTTGCCTCCTGAGTGCTGGGTTAAAGGCCATGTGCTACCATGTACCATTTATATACATTTTTAATTCTGAACATGAAACCAAGTCACAGACAATTTCATAAATCTCTTCTCCATCAAAGTGGAAACAAAAGGATAAGTCAATGATGATCAAAATTTTTTTTTTTTTGAAATGAAATTGTTACCCATATGTAACATGGACCTTGTGTCTCCTCCAGCTTCTCCCTCTGCTATCCATCCTCCTTCCTCAATATGAGGACACAGATGGGATACCCACACAGTTACGGTCATGTGCACACACTCAAGATCATGCACACACACACATGCACATACATTTGTGGTAATGTGCACACACATTCACAAACACTCATCATGTGCAAGCACACACAAACACATGTGCACACACACACGTACACATTTTTGCTCATGTACACACACTCATGGTCACGTGCACACACACATATATACATACACACACACTTGTGGTCATGTACACACACGTGTACACATGTACATACACACTTGTGGTCAAACGCAAACACACACTTCACTGGTGTGATTTAAATCTTCCATATTCATCATTAGGTACCTCTTTGGGAACTTAATGTATATTTTGTCACTAACTATAAAAAATTCATTTTTATTGACCTAGAGATTTGAGGGCAGCGGAGAGGAAACTAGCTGAGAACTGTTGTCATGCTGAGTTTTTACATGGTGGACACACATGGGAACGTGGCTTTCCTGTCACATCATGTCTTTCAGCTTCCACAAAGTTGACCTTGAATTTGCTATTCACAGAAGGAAGGCCTTAAATTTAAGATTTCCCTATCTCTACCACGTCCCCACCCTGTCTGGCTGCTGCAGTGCTGAGCCTGGAGCCGCCACCCAGCATCCTGTATGCCTAGTCTCTCGGTTGGCTTTTATCCTGGGGCTAAAGAATAACATGACTCCTCTCAGGATTACTGAGTCCACACTGGATTCTCGTGTTGCCCTGCTCTAGAGTGACATCCTGGTCTGATGACGAGTATGCAGCACTGCTGGACGGTTGTCTATGCTGGTGAGTCTATAACCAACTTGATATAGCTTAAGAGTCACCTGGAAAAAGGAGATTTCAGTAAAGAACAGCCTGTGGGCATGTCTTGGTTAATGATTACTGTGGAGTCCACTGTGGGCAGCAGCATCCCTAGGCAAATGGGCCTGGACTGCACAAGGAAGTCAGCTGGGCATGGACCAGTTTATGAGCCAATATGCCACACGGTTTCCACTTCAGTTCCACCCTGCCTTTCCTTCATGATGGACTGTTACCTAGAAGTACAGGTGAAATAAACCCTTTCCTCTCCAAGAGGTTTTTGGTCTTTATCACAGCAGTAAAAAAACATATTAGAACAATATCTACAATCCTGTCAATCAAGAGGCAGAGGCAGGACAACTGCCACAAGTTCAAGGCCTGCCTAGTCTACATAGTGAGTTTTAGCCAGCTAGGGCTATATAAGACCTGTCTCAAAAACAAAAACCCAGGAGTAAGAAGGGCTGGGACATGGCTCAGCAACACAGTGTTTGCTTTGCACGCAGAGGCCCTGAGTTGGTCCTCCAACATGAAGGGACCTATTCAAAACAGAAAGAAAATGGCAAGACAGTGGTCCATCAGATGACTTATAACATTTTATAATGACCATGTTTGTTTTCTTAAGCACATTTAATTGTCTTACTCACAAGGAGGAACTCTTCTGGGGCAGGGATCTGCATATGTATATACTGGAGCCAGTGCATCCCCAGCAGGGTTCCTGGCTGACTGATTACCTTTAGGACAGCTGTCATGAAGACCGAGCAGCCCATCAGCACGAAGATCATAAGGCCCGTAACTCTCTGCTCTCGGATGCCCAGGAACTTGGGCTGTTCCCCAGGGGCAGAGCACGCAGACTCCAGCTTGAGGCTGTTCACATGTGTGATGGACAGGACAGTCGCAGCCACAAACCAAGGCAGTCCCATGATGGAACAAACGCCCAGCATGATGGCCACCATCAGCAGGTCCAGATGGTAGCCACAACCTTTCTGTGGGGAAACAGGCACCTTCAGTGAGCCGGCTGAAGCAGGTCCTGTAATGGTGAGCTAATGGCTTCAGGTTGAAAGCTAGCAGGAGTGTAGGGAAGAGTTTGGAGAATTCTTACAGCCCTTCCAGTTAGGAGGAAACAGAGAAGAAAAAGGGAAGCTTGGTTTGTCCTATATATATGCAAATATCTGGTCTTTACACAGTGGCCTCCAGCTTCCTTTGCCTGAGTCTCACACATTCAAAACCCAGGCTCCTCTAGAAGAGCGGCAGAAAGTAAGCCACATAGTGACCACTCTAGATACTAGAGAGCAACGCTTTTATCGAGCTCCTGGACACCGTCCCCATCCTTGCTAAGTCTAGATTTTGTGATAGATATAGAAGACGTGTGGCATCTCACTAATACAAGAGTCAGAGCTAAACCCAGTCTGTAAGCCTAAACTCACGATTCATCTTAAAGCCTCACACTGGATCTCAGTGGGACAAATCCTGCTCCTGGAAAGGCTGTTTAGTTGTTGATCCAGAACGTGTAGCTATTTAGGACCAGCAGGACCTCTGGCCACCCATCTCTACACAGTCTGCAGGGAGTAATGGAGTCCACGCTCCCCCACACCACATCTCAGGCTTCACTGTTCTCACTGCCAACCCATCTTCGTTATTAATGGGCAAGCAATGAAAAGCCCTTCTGAGACTTTATTCATTTCAGTTCCTGGTAGAGCCAGGCCTATCCTAAAATATAAATGTTAAGAAGCTGCCATTTCAGCCGTCCAGGCTGGAAGCTCTGGTTACCTTGAGCTTATGCTCCTTCCTGTTAATGATGACAGCGGTGATCTGCTGGTCCATGAATATCAGGATAGTGCACAGGAGAGCCGGGACAACTGCAGCTATCACGGTCCACCAGGGGTTAGGGCCGATGGGATTAACAAACCATCCTCGGTCATCCCGTGTTGGCTAAGAGATTAAAAACAAGCTGGATTTTTGCATCTTAACTCTGGAGATTTGAGTAAAACAAACCAAGCTTAATCATTAGTCTACTCTTCTTTTTGTTCTCATTTGAATGAAAATCCTTAGAAAAACAAAATAAAACATGAAATACAGCAACCCCTGAGGAAATCTCTGGCCTTTTTCTTCAAACCCCCTCAGCAATCAATCACCACCTAACAGCTTCCTGTGGAATGTTCATTAATCCTACACGGCCTTCTATTTATTCCCCAAGTCCCCAAGTGCAGAGAAAGCAACTTTATCTCAATGTCAGTCCAAGTAAATTTATTAGTAACCAAATCTGTTGTTTAAAAAATGACTTCTGAGACAAATGTCCATAATGTGGATGATTCTCGGCACTCCTCGCCGGAGCCGCGGACTGTTTGAAGTACAAACGACAGTCATGTGGACCCAGGTCACTCAGACTCTTGTCCATCAGCCCTCGGCAGTGGTGAAAAGGACCTGGAGACTTGAGAGTCCCAGAGTTTGGGGATGTCTGGCCTAGGACCCTCTTCAGTGGCTTTGTAAGATTTGTTCACACTCCGAGCCCCACCCTGGTGCACACCGAGAACAGACAAATGGTGTTGGAGGGTAAAAGTCTATTACCCAGAATGACCCCAAAGTCAGCAAATACAGGCGAGATCGCTGTATCTGGAGCTTTTGGCTGCTACATTAGATACAACACTTGGATTAAAGCACTCTTCAGTAATGCTGGGAAGTCCTGGATTTTGAATCAGTTAAATAATTCTAAAACTTTACAACCTCTGCTTCCATAGTAAGACTATGTAGTCATAGGTGTAGTTAAGTTCTCAGGTCAACACAGAAGCTTACTAATGCATTATTGATATTATAGGTGGTCACACAGCTGGGCCTGCTATATCTGTTGGTTCAATCAGCTACAGATTAGAGATGCTGGGGAGGCGCCTGTGGGTTACACTGTTCTCTAACACTGCAGTAGAACAGCATGGAACTGCTGTAGCTAAGAGCGGTCTAGAGATGGTGTAAGAACTGAGGCGCTTGCACACAGGCTGTCTGCAAATACAGCATTTCCTTTCTAGAACGGAGCATAGAACTAGTCCCCAGTGGATGAGAAGTGACTATGCCAACCTTCAGCCTGGTCTTGGGAGCTGGGGCTGGCTACGGAAGGAGAGAAGGCAAGGGACTGCTTCTTGTCTGCTTCCTAAGCTGGCTGCACCAGCCACATCTCCTCCAATCTTCTCCTGCCTCCTTCTGTCTTCTCCTTCCTCCCAGAGGTCCCAGAAATCAACTCAGGTCTTAAGCTTGTGCACCATGGAACTTCCCCAGGGACTGCTTAATGCTCCAAATTTGCCTGTTTTTATACAAAATCTATTTGTCCTGTAGCCAGCTAGGTATTAGAGAAAAGGCTGATAGTGACCATTCATACTGGGATAAGAAAACCAGGTCCTGGGAGGTGTTTCTTAACCCTTTCAGCATTTTAACACGTTTAACAAAATTAAACAGACAAAATGAGAGAGAGAGAGAGAGAGAGAGAGAGAGAGAGAGAGAGAGAGAGAGAGAGACTCCTTACAGTGAGGAAGACGGCAAAGTAACTCACTATGGAGCATCCCTGCTTGTCCTGGAACTCACTCTGTAGACCAGGCTGGCCTCAAACTCAGAGACCTGCCTGCCTCTGCCTCCTGAGTTCTGGGATTAAGGAGTGCACCATGGAGTATCAAGGACCGCCTCTACTACCTCTGTCTTTCTGCCATCCTCAGCCTTTCCTACTCCTGAATTTTCTGAAGAAGCTGAGCATATCCAGGCTCTCTGCCATCTCCACCCAATGAGGGTCTGTGGAGTTAACTAAGCTCGGCTCTCCAGCCTCATCTGCTTATAACCCTTGCACTGAAATAGACTCAAAACATTTCAATTTGCATGTGAGTTTTTAAACGACCATGGATTATAAATAAACAAATGTAAAATACGGTTGAAGAGATGCTCTGATGGCTCAGCAGGAGCCCTGGACTCCAAACAAGATCTTCTTAGGTCTTAGGTCGTTTTTACTCCTTCCCAGTTCCTTAAAGCTGGAGCTCTGTGAAGCATCACCCAAGTGCTCCTGGGGCCACCTCTCCACACCAGCACATCTTTATGAAAATGGCATTTTCCATTCAACTAAAGCTTAGCAGGCATTACATTTTACTCACTGAGCCTCTGAGCTCAACTCCAGACCAATCTACACTCAGACGTCAAGTTCCCAACACCTACGTACCTTGAACACACTGGGAACCTGAAGCTTTGGTGATGGGACTCCAATCAAGAAGTCGATGATCACCATTGTGAAGATGGTGAGGAAGACGGCAAAGTCGCTCACCATGGAGCGTGCCTGGCATGAGAAAGAATCAGAGCAAAGAAGTTAGCACCTCAAGAGCTATTGTTCCTCAGAAAATGCTTGGCAGCTGAACTAAAACAAAGCTAGTTAATCAAGACTATTTTAGTATACTCAAAGTAATGCCACAACATGTGTATGTATAACATAGAACAACAAACCTCTGACCAAGTCTACTGTAATCAAGACCAGTCTCTAAAGAGTCCCAGTTGGGGTGCACAGGTCCACCCGAGGTTGTCTTAGCAGCTGCACCTTCACATCCTCCCCACATCCTGGATCCGCTCCATCCACAGGGGCTATCAGTCAATATTCAGAACATGCCCAGAACCTGTGCCCACACTCAGCCACAGTCCCCGCCATCTCTCACCTTTGCCCTCCAGTGCTCCCAAAACATGGCCTCTGGAGTAACACCGTGGAGAACTAGGCTGGATCCTGTCTGCCTACCCAAACCCCAAGAGGCCTCCTTGTTTCACCAAGCTCAAAACCCAAAATCCTCTCCACCTTGTGAGGTCCACAGAGCCTCCAGCGCCCCCCTCGGCATCTGGGCTGCTCATCTATCTCCCTACCTGACTAGGCTTCTGCCAGGTGACCTCTGCAGCTTAACTCAAACACATTTTTTTTCTCGAGACAGGACAAAAAGACAGGGACTCTAAGGGGATACTGGAAGGGACAGATGTTTCCACTCTGGAGTCCGCCTGCAGAGAGTGCTGGTGCTCCTGAAGACGTGAAGACAAGACGGCCTGAATGTCTGCAGCCTGGGGCGTCAGCTGCGTCAGCGCCCCCCGCTTGGCCCTGACCCCCCGCTTGGCCCTGCATCTAAACAGTGCACCACAGGGCACAATCTCACAACCTCATATGAAAGACAATACTTTTGTAGAACTTTTAAACAAACCAGCTTGTTGTCATTTTGTTTATGAACTCATGCCGTGTGGGTACATGTGCTTATATGTGCACATGTATGTGGAGAACCAGAGGTCACCCTTGGGCACCCGTTAGAAACACCATTACCACCTCTGAGACAGGGAGCCTGGAGCTCACCAGTTAGGCTAGAGTGGAAACCAGCAAGCCCCAGGGACCTGTCTACACCTCTCTACAACAGAATCACAGTGTGCGCCATGACACCGGGCCTTTTTTACCTGAGTTCATGTTTTTTACCACCATGGTCTCATGTTTATAAGGCAAGCACTTTACTATTGAAGCTATCTCCCAGAGGCCTAATAAGTTTTTCTTAATTTTTAAGTTTCAATCCTCAAACCTTGCTGTAAATTACCCCGTGAGTACAGTAACTTATTATATGCCACTAATGGCACCTAAGTGTGACTCTGCACTTAATTAAGGTCATCGACGTCTTCCGTGTGCCCTGTCCTTTCCCTACATGGTCATGTCTAAATACTTTAAATAAACTCGCCAATCTTGTTCACGCCACTTGTCTGAAATTCTTTTCTGTGGTGTAGTCAAGGATTGGCTTTAACTCAAACTCCTCAGGCTAGTGCTTTGTTGGACAGAGTCCTCTCAGCACTGCTGACACCCTTATGGTCCCACTGAAAACTCGCCATTGCCCCCAGGACTTCTTTCCTGCTTCATTTTTTTCCAATAGAGCTCATTTCCTCTGTTTGTGTCTGTGTGTGGTGTGTATGTACATATGCACGTGTATTGTGTGTACATATGCATGTATAGTGTGCATGCATGTTTGTGGTACGTGTGCATTTATGTGTGTGGTGTGTGTGTGATATGTACATGTGTATACATGCATATGCATGTGTATGTGATGTGTATATGTGTATGTGTGTTTATGTGTGTGTATGTGCTTATGTGTGTGCACATGTATTCCCATTCACGTTAAGGCCTGTCCCAAGAGGACCACTCCATTTTAGAGCTTACATGACCAGCACCCTGGTCTCCGCTCCCCACAAAGAGGAGGTAAAGACATCTTAGCACACACAGTGTCACAAAGAGGAGGTAAAGACATCTTAGCACACACAGTGTCACTACTAACGGCACTTTGCTCTCAGGCCTCAGATCTGAAGCACCCTCTCCATGGTTTTGTTCATCCCTGACTGTTCCATGCATTCTCTGAGGACTCAGACCCTGACCACCCCACGACACTCACCTAGGCTTGGCAACTGGTCAGCATCTAGCAGCCACTTGTCAACTATTTGTCCAGATAGGAAACAGACTGGGAACTTACTAATGTGTTGCTTCCCTCAGCAACTCTGCAAGCTCACTAAGCCTGTGAATGGGCTTTAATCATGGATGTATAGACGGTAAACAACCAACCGAGCTCTCCCCCCACCCCCAGTATGTGGATGTGCCTAAAGGGTGGACTCGCTGAAGCCATGGCTCACACAGCTGCTCAAACTCAGGCCTGCCTATGACATAAACAATGGCTTTTGAGGCTTCAGATGGTCAGGGAAGGAATCCGAGAAAAGGACGGGCTGGTTCCTGCAGCCACAGAGTTTGTAGCCTATGGCAGGAACCATGCCTAGGAAGGGTCTTCTGGGTCCTTTACAAAACATGAGCCAATCTCTCCAACATGCCTGCTCTAGTTTTATATCCCGTGAGTCTCAGAATCCCAGACATGAACCGAAACATAACCTTTAGGGGACAGTACCACCACCTTCAACCTACCCGGTCCTTTTCAATCAAAAAGGCTTTAGGCATCCTCCTCCATACCATGGAGCTGTGAAGGAGGCTGCCACGAACTAGAAAACCCTGCCTCAGTGAAGCTCATCGGGACAGCTGGTACCCTCCATGCTGCCAATCTCTACAGCAGCATGGGGCTGAGAGTCAGTTCTGTAGTTAGAATCCTAACACAAAAGCAACGTCTGAGCAGCTACCTACTCTGGTTGGGAAATAACGGCTCGTCTTAAACGTCTTTAAGGTGCTTGAGAGGATGAAGGTGGTGAAGAAGAGAATACAGGACCAAAAGAGCACATCAGGAGTGTAGGGTCCATGACGAGCGCACGCCGAGCCCATGAACTCTCCGTGCATTTCCTGGCACTCCTGGAGGGACAAGAATTCTGGGTCACAAAACGGTCGGCACATGGGACAAACAGCTGCCACCTTCCCAGCTCACCATGCACTGCCCTCCCATGGCCGCGGGCGAGCACAGGCCACCAGCCCTGGCACGTGACCGCCATGCAGCTAGGGTTCTCACTAGCAGGTCCCTGTCAAGAACACTGAGTAGTCCTAACCAACACACTTAGGCATAAAGTTAGAACTGTCTGGAACAAACACTTCTGAGGCTCTGGGAAGAACTTAGAAGGTGGAATTATTTTAATTGGATAACCTTTGAAACTTGAATGTTCTTCCAGCTACACAGAGTCTGGACCTGTCTTTGTCCTTACGTTTTCATTAATTTTTGTGAGTTTTTTTAAAAAATGAAAATCAGCCATCATGTTTATATAAAACAAAGAAATTAAATAAAGCTATCACTGCCATTAGTAGCAAATTTTCTAAATGTCACAGAGAGAACCTGGTAAGAAATGAGCACACACTAATGGGAAATGCACCAGTTCAGAGTATAAAAGTCATCTTAAAAATCTTAGGGAAAGCCATGTCATTGGAGGGGCAAACATGGTCCCAATAATAGACCAGTTTTTCTTCCAAGTATATCTTATAAATTCTTACAAATCCCAAGGCAGTTTTCAAAAATAAACACAAGAGGTGACTCAAGTTCATGTGGCAGAAATGTGTATCAGCTAACTGTTCCCACCAAGGACACTACAGAGATTAATAAATAAATAAAAATACCAATTTTAGCATGATAAAGAAAAAGAAATCTCTAAGTATATCAATATGATGAAACAGAGCTAATCAACATGCCCCCACACAGCTACTGTTTATATGATCAAAATGGTTCTTCTTAAGCCCCCAGATGGGTCTCTGCACAGCCCTAATGGCCTTAAACTTACAATGTCCCTACCTCGGGCTCCCAAGGTTACAGGTGAATGTGACTGAACCTAACGTAAGCTTAAATGCCAGCGTCCGGCAAAGGGTTGCTCTACCTCAGTCTAGACGTCCTTTCTAGACCCGATGGTCACAACAGAGGCCTGCCCATCTCCGGACTTACACTGACAGTCAGGTTCGCCCAGTTCACTTCTGTGGTCACGATGTTGTGGTCCTTCCAGTACCGTAAAGTATGGTTGTTTGGATTCTCCGGGAGCGTGCACCTGCAGCTAGGGAAAGACGAAAACATCCCTAATGGAAGCAGCCAGCTAATTACTAAGTGCTCTTAGCCGTGCCTAGGTTAAAGGCTCTGTCCGAGCTACCTCTTTCTTTCTCATACACTTCAGATCTTGGAGATGGGTCCTATTGGTTGAAGACAATTTATCAACACAACCACACGCTGATTTTCAGTTGGTCATGACTAAAGGTGTATTCCACTCAGTCAGTATGTAGGCCTTGGATAAAATGGTGTGGACAATCTATGCCTGGCATGCGATATGCCCAGAATAAGCCAGGGAGGTTCCTTGTTTAGTTTCTATCTCTTAAGCTCTTGCTGTGAGTCAATCTGCACAGCGAGGGTTTGACTCCCATGCTCACCATCATGCTTCTGTGCAAACATAAGCACCTCCTGGAGTGTGTCTCCCACACCCAGTGCTTCCTGCTCACTCCAGCTGAGCCAGGCCTGGCTGCTCCAGGCCCCTCCCTCCTCTCTCATCCTTCCAGGTTAGGCACAGTGTCCCACAGGCCACCATGCTGCCTCCCAACCTCAGCATGCCTCGCATCAGTATGGCCAGCTGACAGCCACTCTCACCACCCTTGCTTCACCTGTGCATTTAGAAACCATGCCTTTTATAACAGAATTAAAATTCAAATCTCAGCAGAAGGAAGTCTCAAAACTACGTTTAGGTTAAAAAAAATCAATCTCAAGGCTGAGAAGGTAGCTGAGTGGGCAAAGTGCTTGCTTGCTATACAAGCATGAGAACCTGGGTTTAAATCTCTAGATCTAGACACCTAGGAATGCTGTGTGCAGCTGCAATCCCTCACACCTATGAAGAAGATAACGTGGAGACAGAGGACCTGGAACCCTGCAGGTCAGCTAGCTGGGAACACAGTATCAAACAACAGACTCCATGCCAAACAAAGTGGCAGGCTGCTAGAAAAAAACAACAACAATTTCTTCAGTGGCATAGCCATTGGCAGAAGGTCTGTGTCCTTGTCAATAACCCATGCTCATGTGAGCAACCCCAGTCAAACTCAGTGGGCCTCTCCCCCCACACACACACTTATGCACACACACACACACACACACACACACACACTTATGCACGCACGCATGCACTCACACACACACACACACACACACACACATGAAGACATGAAGGGAGAAGGACTGGTTGGACAGAAGAAGATCAGTGGAAGGTGACAGGGTGGAGGAATAGAAGGGAAAGTAACTGGGGTGAACATGATCAAGATACATGAATACTTAAACACATGCATTACATGGACAAATATGTAGCATGTCTTGGTAAAGAGAAAGTTCCCAATTCTGTAAGTGGTGGGGGGGTGATAAAAGGCAGGAAGCGCACTCACTAATAGAGGCTGAGGTGGTCCGGCTGGCTGTGCGTGTGGATGGGGTAAGTCTCCGCCAGGTGAATCAGCTTTTCTATCGCTTCATAGATGAAAATAATGCAAATCAGGGAGGCAAATGCTTCTTCGGTGAAGCGGGTAATGTAGCAGACGAGGGAACTGGCGTCAGTGGCCACGAGAACAATACACAGGAAGGCAGTCCACAGCCCGATACAGGCTCGCAGGGAGAGGTATGAAAGGGCATAGTCCCTGCAAAACACCGGAGCTCGTGAAGAACACGGAAGGGAGGCACCGAGAGACAAAGGGCCACCGTGGCTGGTCCGGCTCAGCTAATCCACACCAGCACTGCAACCCTCTGTCCCTAAGACCACATGTACTGCACGCCTCGGTAAAGCCCTGGGACAACGCGCTCCACATCTTCAGTGGAGCTGTCTGCTGGGCACAGGCACAGAACACGGAGAAGGAAGAAAACATTGCATGTGCAGTAAATCCTTCTGCCGTTACTATCCAATGTGATTATAAGTGTGGTTGTGAATGAGAAGATAGGGCTGGCTCTGACCCCATGTGTTTCTATTTCTAAAACAATGTGGGAAAGGGTCTTACAGGATGGAAACCAGAGCACTGTCAGGCCTCACCACCATCCACAAACAGAATATCAAGAAAGGACAGTAGACCCAATTTAAAAGTGGTCTAAAACATAAAAGGGAGGAAGTCTGAATCAGTTAAGATAGTTTTCTTAAAAATTAAAAAGTATGCTGGGCGGTGGTGGCTCACACTTGTAATCTCAGCACTCAGGAGGCAGACAGGCAGATCTCTGTGAGTTCGAGGCCAGCCTGGGCTACAAGAGCTAGTTCCAGGACAGGCTCCAAAGCTACAGAGAAACCCTGTCTCTAACAAACAAACAAATGAAAAGCCCACCTGGACAATGGTGGTGCAGCCCACGGTCTAGCACTCAGGGAGTCACAGTAAGAGGAATGTGAGTGCAAGGCCAGCCTGGGCTACACAGCTCCAGGCCAACCAGGGCTACACAGTTCCAGGTTAGCCCGGGCTACACAAAAAGACCTTAGCTCAGAATAAATAGAGCTGAAGAGGTGGTTCAATGGTTAAGAACACTGGCTTCAATTCTAGATTTGATTTCCAGCTCCCAAGTGGGCAGCTCACAACCACCTGTAACTCCAGTTCCAGAGGATCCAACATCCTCTTCTGACCCACAGGCACTGCACACACATGGTGCACAGGCATACATGCAGGCAAAATGCCTCTATACATAGAATAAATATAAATAAATCTTAAAAACTGATAAATTTAAGAGACTAAAGCTGTAAAGACTTTTGGTAATGGTGAGGAGACACCAGGCAGGCTCTGGAGAGAGGGAGGCTTGTGGCTACAGAGTTGTGGGAGGACGGCAGGCCCGAGACGCCTGCACTCGGGTTTAAAGTGTCTGCTGTGTGCCTGCCTGCACAGGAACTGGTGCTTGGTGTCGGCAGACGGCAGCCACATCCAGTAACTTCCAGAAAAACAATGTCTTACTTGCAGAACTTGAACAGAATCTTCTCGAACACGAGCACAGGGCCAGTGCTCCCCAAGATGGTAAGGGGCTGCCCAGCAAACAAGGAGTAGGCGATCCCCGTCATGGATGCTCCAAACAAGGATTCGATTGCACTCTGAGGAGGAGAAAAAACAATCAGAGTCTATAGCTGTCTGCAGAGAACAGCTGCTTTACCTACACTGACTGAGCTGCTCCGCGCCTTGACAGTCATTGCTTGTATTTCTTCTACGCAAGAGGGAGGGGCACACAGAACCTAAAGCTCCTGCGAACCTTCTGCCACGGTTCCTCAGCTAAGTTTTATCCTTTAGCCCAGTTCAGTATTTAAAGATGTATAAAAGCACAAATGTTGTTCACATGACACCCTATTACACAAAGTCACTGAATCTTGTTTTCAGGTGTTATCAGTGGATCCATTTACTTTCTTGGGAACCAGTTAGTGAACGTGATGTACAAGAACTAGGGATGTGTGCAGGAGGCAGAGCTGGGCTCCTCCATAGGGCAGAAAACCCAGTCACTCAGGACACAGGACCCAGTCTCCTCAGCGCTGACTATGGAAGGCACCCCCAAAGAACTTGGATGCCACCACAATATTTTTTATTATTGTTTTCATTGAGCTATACATTTTCCCCACTCCTCTCTCTTCCCTCTCTTTCTATCCTCCCCCTGCCCCCCACGCTCCCAATTTACTCCAGGGGTCTTGTCCTTTTCTCCTTCCTAAGTGGATCCATGTATGTCTCTCTCAGGGTCACCACAATATTTTAAGTCTTGTTTTGGAGCACCAGAAATGATGAAAGCTCTTACTATGCGTCCTTCAGTGGCTTCTCCAAGCAGTCCCCCAAAGGTGATAACAGGCGACATGCAGGCACAGTACAGGAACAGGAAGGAGGCCAGACACTGTAAGCTGAGTGCGTCCCGGTAGTCGCTCCAGTACCAGGGAGCCTTCCGCTTGATGTCCAGCACCAAGCCCCCAAACAGCCTGCAGAGACAGGGTGGACAGGCCTCTAACGCAGTCCCTCCTTCTCAAGGGCACAGCAGAACACACCTGAAAGTACTTCAAATGTGCTCAGGAGTATTTTAGCTTCAACTTCACCACAAGCACATCATTTTGGCACAGACAGACTCTGTTATAATCAAGGGTATGACATATGGGAAAATTGAATGTGTACCAAGCATTAAGAAGTCACTTTAGGTATGCACACTGCCCACTTATCAATGTTCAAAAAATTAACAAGACAGCAAATAATAGCGTCAGTTTCCATTTCTAAGCCGTCAGAGGAGATGTGAAAGCAGCTCAGATTACCAGTGTTTTTAAGGCTTTCCGGGCACACAGCTCTACGCATGCACATTCCCAGTCGGAGCAGCCCCTGCCTCGGTCTCTGCATAACGACTGACAAGTAGAAGAGAGTGGGTGCCAGGCACCGGGCCAGGCACTGGAGATGTGGCAGTGAGCAAGACCAACACGGCCCTTGTTCTCCCTGACCAACAGTCCAGTGCAGGAGACAGGCAATGACGATGGGCGGGCGCTATGACAGCGCAGGCTGGGGGGCGGCATCAGTGGAGACTCAAAGGAAGGACGAGGAGACAGACAGACAAGGTGGAGGGACCAGCATGGGGACACCCAGGGTGAGAACATGCGCTAGGTTCAAGGTGCTAGCAGAGATCAACAGCACAAGGGCAAAAAACTGACAGACAAGGTTGGAGAAACTGAGTCACAGAGGATGTGAATGGTTTTGAGGAGTTGCAGCCTAATCCTAACAGCATGCCAAGTTACTGATGAATGTAAACAGTGGAGCAGCGTCCAACAAGCATTCTAGAACCATCACCCTGTGGCTGCCTGAGGCCGTCTGTCGTGTGAAGGGAGTGTGGGCTGAGAGAAGGAATGGTAAGTTCAAGGGCTACTCAGGAGAGAGAATCGGTAGGGCTCCACTGTGGCTTAAGCCCTCCTGAGGAGGCCAATGAAGAGCAGGACACACACCAAGGAGGAACACTGCCCTCAGCTGAATCATTTCCTAAGCCGGGCCTCAGCATCACAGGGAAGCTACAAGACACAGCACTGGCTTCAGATTGAAGGGAAAAAAAAGGATCCTACATCAACAAGTAATGAGATGGTTAATACTTTTAGACTTGAGATCGGCATAATTGCTTTGGAAACGTCCTTATTAAAGGAGATACATACTGAGGTATATACAGGAAAATGATATCGACGATTTAGTTTAAAATAATCTAGAAAACATAAAAACAAGTGAGAGGGAAAAAATGAGACAAAACTGGCAAAATGTTGGTGGGCACCTGGGGACCATAAGAAAACTACAACAAACCCATTTTCTCCACTGGAGGGCAGTGCGGCTGTCCCTGGGCTCTCCTAAGAGCCTAGGGAACGAGGAAAAGGTCAGGACCTACACCCAGGAGACAAGCCAGGCAAGCCTGCTCTACACAGCACTGGCCTGAGGTTGGTGAGCAGAAGGGGACACAGGGTGGAAGCTGCTCACTCACTGTTTTCCTCGACTGTGCTGCCATTCCTCCAGTTATACCAGTAACATCACCACCTGGCTGCGGTCTTGGGAGGAGACAGGAGAGTCAACCCCAGGACCTGCATTAGCATTGATACGCACAGCAAACAGCTCAGGCAAAAGAGCTCTCTCCAGGAGCTGGCCTACAACACCGAAAGTCAGCCTTGGGGTTGGAACCAAAGACCTGATTTAAAACAGAATGCCATTTTGTCTTACTCTCTCTGTACAAACAGATCCTCAGGGACCTCTGCAGTGGCAGTGATTAATCTGGGGCATTATAAAAGTGTTTCAGGGTCCTCCCTACAACAGCGCCTTGCACCAGGAGCCCATCACCTCTCACCAGCAACCTCCATCTGAAGGGAAAAGAATCTCATGCACCTCACTGAGGCTCCTTGAGATGCTACACCATTGACCAGCACACCTTTGGGCAAGAAGGCTTCCCGAAGGCGAATAACAAACGAGTTATATGAAACAGAAGGCATCCGCCCAGAACTGCTAGGGAGAGGCAGACACCATGGCCACACTAATGGCAAGAGTAGAACAATCAGTTATTTTTGAGATAAGATTTCTCTATTACACAGCTCTGGCTATCCTGGAACTAGCTCTGCAGTCCAAGCTGACCTCGAACTCACAGAGAATGGCCTGCCTCTGCCTCTGGAGTGCTGGGATTAAAGACGTGCGCCACCACTGCTCAGCACTGATTACTTCTTTTAGACATTCATGCATAAAATCAGACCAGAATGCAGACACTATTAGATGTAGATGCTTCTCTTCATTTTTGGAACTTCCTTTCCCTCCAACATTATCCTTGATGTTCAAGTGTCGGGGGCAGGAGGCACAGAGATGAATTTAAGCTCGATATAAGAGCAGACTTACCAGTGCAGAGGGTCACTAGGCTCTGGAACACTGACTTAGGGAGCCCTTCCCTGGAGGGCTTTAGGGACAGGCCAGCCATCCATTTGTCTGGTGTGCTTTGAAAGAAACCTGTTTGAAGTGTGGGGGATCATCGAGACAGCAGCTATGGATTCTTTTTTCATTAACCCTTCCCAAAAATTTGTACCCCAATAAGGGATATAAATCTACCCCCAAAACCCCTTCCCAGAGGTCCCTGCTGCAGAGCTCCCAGGCTGCGAGGAAAGTCTCGTCACACTTCCTGCTTCCCACCATGATATCCCCGCCTGTGTTGGCATAGGAGGGTCCCTGGCTCAGAGGTGAGAAGACAGAATGCAGAGGGGTGCGTCCCACTGTCATCGGGCTCCTGGAGTCCACTGTCCCTGATCTCCCAACCCTCTTCACCCAACATGAAAAACAGGAAAAAAAGTCTATGCATTTGGCTCGAGGTTCTGCAACACTGCTGCAGGAGTACCTTCCGCTGCTTCAGCCAATAGTCTCTGAAGCACGAGACCACAGGGCTGTGGGAGCGCCTTCCGCTCCGTCAGCCAATAGTCGCTGAAATACCAGCCCACTGGGGCGTGGTATATTTCTCTTTAAAAGAAGAGCAGCAAGCCTTGGCTCAGCCTCTTGGTTCCGGCTCCTGCTCCCGGCTCCTGCTCCAGCGACTAGGCTCCCTTCCTGACGGTTTATGGTGTATGTAAGTTTTACCCCCCAAAATAAATACCCCTTTAAAACATAACTGGTGTGGGATTGATTCGCCATTATCTGGCGTCCGAACATGTGGATTTTTCCCCCCTCGTGACGTGGGCCAAGCAACCAGAGCCGCACACTACTACTGGCTCCCGACTGGCACCGACCTCGGGCGGATCGGGGAGGAAACTTTTTGGCTTCTGCTACCCCTATCGGGCACTGTCTTCCCCGCCGCCCGGCTGAGTCTAGCGCTCGACCTGCACCGGAGCACACGATCTGTGAATTTAACCTCTGGATTTCAGTGTATATATTTTAGAGTTTACTTCCTGGATTGACGCCATTGCCACGTGAATTGAGGTGCGCCCCACCACCTATTGGCAGGCAATGGTCATTAAAGGTAAGATTTTTCTTTTCGGTTGAAAATAAATACATACATACATACATACAAGTACAATTTCTTTTGATTGAAAATGTCAGAAAATATTACTATCCAAAAGTTCAATGGTTAATTGCGCTATGGAGGATATTCTGAAGGATGTCTCTGATATTCCTCTTACTTGGTTATTTCTGGGTTCTGTTGCTTTTCTGGTGTTTGGCTATTTTATAAGGATGATACAGTCCTTACAGATTGAATCCACAATGCTGAGGGCAGAGATTAAAACCTTAAGGACAATTCAGACTGACACCAACCTCCTCAAAAAAGGGTTTGGAGTTTTCAAGGAGGAGACTAGATCAGAGTTTGGAGTTTTCAAGGAGGAGACTAGATCAGAGTTTGGAGTTCTCAAGGAGGACACTAGATCTTTGTCTGATATGACTCGGCCGACTGACCAAAATATCAAGAAGGTACAGTCTGATATTGCTTCTTTAGAAGGGAGCTTCACTGCTCTGGAGGAGGGGACAACCAAAATGACTTGTAACCTCCAGTCCATGACTGTAAGTGCTGAAACATTAGCTGAGAGGATTATAACCACTGAATATGAAAATCGGACTTTATCAAAAGGGTATGATAGATTAATTGACAGGATTTCCATACAAGAAGGCACAGTACATGCCATGAGGATTATGTCCAAGGAGGATATGGTATCTCTAACGGACAAGCTCCACGCCTTAAAATTACCAATGAAGGCGACTGTGTCCAAGGAGGAAATGGTGTCTCTGACAGACAAGCTCCATGCCTTAGAATCCTTAATGAAGGCTTTGGAGCATAATACTGGACAGGAGATTCAGGACTTAACAGAAGGCAATGGTGAGCAGATTTAATAAGATTGAGGCAATCATAGACTCTGATGAACAGGAGTAAAAGGTAGAAAGGCAACATTCACCTCAAAAAACTCTCAGTCTACATAGAGTTCTACCTGCCTTTCCAGTAATAACATCAGAAAAGATAACCGGCTCTAAAAACCCTAAGGTCATTAAAGAACATACATGGGAGCCTATATGTATGAATGAGCTCAAAGAATTTAAACAAGCAATTGTGAATTATGGACTACATTCATCCTTTGTTAGGGAGATGTTAAAATCCTGGGCACTGAGCAGCAGGGCCACCCCTCAAGATTGGAATCAATTAATGTCAGCTGTCCTCGAGAACGGACCTTTATGGCATTTCAAATGCCTATTCAAACAAGAGGCCAGACTTTTACAACAACAAGAATCAGCGAAAGAAATTGAGGTTTCTCTAGATCAAATTCTAGGGGAAGGACTTTACTCTGATCCTCAGGAACAAGCTCTTTATGATGAAAACATTTTATCCATATATGCTACAGCAGCTCTAAGGGCCTGGGACAGGGTTCAAGACTCAGGTCAGAGAGTAGAATTGTATATCAGGGTCAAACAGGGTCAATGAGAACCCTTTAGTGACTTTTTACAAAGACTAACTAAGGCTGTACAAATAGGGATACCTGATCCAGAAGCAAGCAATATAGTAATTGAGTCTTTGGCTTATGAGAATGCCAATGAAGAATGCAAAAGGATCCTGGGGCCTTTAAAGATCAGATCAGTGCCTTTGGATGAATGGGTTTTACATACAATGAATGTTGATACATTTGATTATGGCAAACATGGGTGCAAGAAGCAATTTCCAAAGGTAAAAGGAGACCTCAGATTACAAAATGCATTCATTGTGACAAAATGGGACACATGAAAAGGGACTGCAGACAATGGAATTCCAGGAATAATGCCTCTTCTAGGAATAACAGGAATAGGAGGACTCAGCCTTCAGGTTTATGTAGGAGATGTGGAAAGGGCAGGCATTGGACGAATGAATGTAGGTCAACAAGAGATAAACAGGGCAACCCGTTGCCATCGGGAAACTCAATGGGGGGCCTCACGCAGTCCCCCATGACAAATGTGGCCCAGTCATTTCCGATCACTGCAGAGAACATGCCTCTTCAGGGAAATTAGAATGCCCCATGCCTGCTGTTAAAAGCAATAACGGCCTGAAGGATGAGTTAAATGTAGTGAATGAATCAAGAAATCTAAGAGGACAAAGTAAATGTATATTCTGGCAGACTTCTATAAACGAACAAAGACCACAGCTAAGAGTGTGTGTAAATGACACATTTATTACTGGCTTATTGGACACAGGTGAGGATGTAAGTATCATTACTCCAGAATCTTGGCATCTTCATTGGCCTCTTCAGGAGGTAGATATTCAGTTCTTAGGAATTGGAACGCTATCTCGAGTAAGACAAAGCACGAGATGGGTCAATTGTATAGGTCCAGATGGACAAATAGGAAAACTAAGGCTATATGTAGCCAATATTGCAGTGAACTTATGGGGCCGTGACCTATTGCAGCAATGGAATACCCAAATTAACATTTCTGCTGCTTCCAGAGCCTATATTTCTGAGGAAAATATTACAAGATATTACAGATGGCAGAAACCAGCCATTAGAGCTATACAAAAACACAACACAATTGATGGCCCTTCAGAGGTACCAACAGCCATGCCTCTACAATGGTTGACTGAGAAACCAATATGGACTAAACAGTGGCCTTTAGCTGAGGAAAAGTTACAGGCTTTAGAACAGCTGGTACAAGAGCAATTAGATGCTGGACGTATAGAAGAATCTACCAGCCCTTGGAACTCTCCTGTATTTGTTGTTAAGAAAAAATCTGGTAGATGGAGAATGGTGACAGATCTTAGAGCTATCAACAAGGTTATTCAACCTATGGGCCCTCTGCAATCTGGAATTCCTCTGCCCTCCCTGTTACCAAAGGGATGGCCTCTTATAGTTATTGATCTGAAAGATTGTTTCTTCACTATACCATTACAAGAAAAAGATAGAGAAAAGTTTGCCTTCACAGTGCCTACCTATAATAACTCTCAGCCTGCAAGGAGGTACCAATGGACCGTCCTCCCACAGGGAATGTTAAACTCTCCTACCCTGTGTCAATATTTTGTAAGCCAACCATTGAAAATTATACGCAAACAATTTCCTAAGTCCATAATATACCACTATATGGATGATATCCTGATATCTGATCAAAACAAAGACACCTTAGAAAGGCTATTTGAAGAAGTAAAAATAGTATTACCTAAATGGGGATTGCAAATTGCTCCTGAAAAAATTCAGAGAGGAGATTCTGTTAATTATTTAGGTTATAAAATAGGTTTACAGAAAATTAGGACACAAAAGGCACAAATTAGGAGAGACTGGTTACGGACTCTTAATGATTTTCAGAGATTGTTAGGAGACATTTCCAGTCTACGACCAGCTGTTGGGATAACACCTGATCTAATAATTCATTTAAACAAAACCTTAGATGGTGACAAAGATTTGAATAGTCCCAGAGAGTTAACAGCTGAAGCAGAAAAGGAACTGACGATGGTTGAGGAAAAATTACAGGAGGCACATGTAGATAGGGTGGATCCAAATCTTAGTTGCATTCTAGTCAT